ATTAGAGCTGTAATATAATCCAAACTGGACATGAAATAATTTGAACTGTTGTCCATATCAGAAATTTAGTTTATCTTCTGAAGCTCATTCAGAGTTGGTGAGCTTCTCACATCAGTTTTCATTATGGATCTATAATCAGTAACAGCTGTTAGCAATAAAAAGTACTTGTGTTGAAGTGTCCAATTTCTGCCAATTCCCCAATTGTAGCCTTCTACCAACATCCCATATTTTTGAAACCAATCCAGAGTTCTGTAGGCATAATGGGAAAGGGTTAGCAAAAAAAAAAAAAAAAAAAAAAAACAATTATGTGTACATTATGATATTTAAGCACTGATGATGTAACCATTGCTATGGTTTAACTTAAAAAACTGTGTTCTTGATATTAATTTTCTTTACCTCCCATTATTACAAGGAACAAAACAGTCATGGATTTATTTTTATTTTTACTTAAATATTTTGCACATCAGTTTGAACATTGTTTTTCTAATTAGGAACAAATGTACTGTAACAGCTCTTTACTTTCCAAAGAAAAATCAGAGTACTACTTCATTACTAACCAGATCTAAACAAGCTTTGATGTAGTAAAATAGAATGGATGCTTTTTTTACCAGGCTAATTTCATATAATCACATTTTTGCAAACAAAGAGTATTTAGTTTATGATTAATTTTATTACAGTATGATTATCTTCCCTTTTAAAAACTTCCCTTTTCAAATAAAGAGAGATTTGGGTTTATCGCATGAAATCAATAAACTTTAGATTGCACTGTATTAAAAATGCATTGAAAATGTAGCAAGTAGAAATTTCAGTCTTTATTGCATTGGCAATATATGTCTGAGATACTTATCCACAGTAGAATTTTTTGTAATCGTTGCAACTCCATTTCATTTGATGCAGTAAAACAACATGTTTTCTATTTGTATGGTACAGTTTTAAATAACTATTACATGATTTGTTTTATTAGTATTTGTATCCAGGAATACAATTTGAATTAAGTACATATGTATTCCTGCACCATTTATCATTGGTTTTATCTCCAACTTAAAAGAAAGCAAAGTAAAGTTTAGCTATCATCCCTGACATAATTATAGTCTTTTATTCCTGCAATCTTTTCACAGATATTTGGACATGCAGTAATTGGTGGATTTGTACAGTGTGTTCAGTCATCATTCATTTTGACATGTCCCAAAGGTGCTTTTTCAAGAGGCAACTGGACTTTTCTGGTTTTTCTTTGAAGACATTTCACTTCTCATACAAGAAGCTTCTTCAGCTCTGCCTGGAGGGTGGGGAATGGAAGGATTTATACTCCTTGCAGACAGCTGGTCATTTGCATCCTTTTAATGGGTCATTAAGGTCACCTGGAGGTTTATCTGTGTCATCAGGGTCACCTGAGTGGTGTAAATTGGTGTGGGACAGTTCCTTCTTGGAATTGTTGAAAGGATTGTGTTGTAGATTGGAGATAGATGATGTCGTATCCGTCCCCCCTCTGTTGAGAGAGGGTTGTTCAGTTTTGACATAGATGGCCTCTTAACTCTTCTTTCAAATCAGTGATCCTTTGTCTAAAATATGGACTTTGTTGTCTTTAAAAGAGTGGCCTTTGTCTTTTAAATGCAGATGGGCTGCTGAATCTAGTCCTGATTTGTTTGTTCTCCTATGTTTGTTCCCCTATTTTGGACCTTAACGATGGGCGCTTATTATGAGTGGAATAGTGTGTTATTCAGAGGTGGGTTCTTACCGGTTCGGACTGGTTCGGCCTATAAAGTAATAGCTTGGCCTGCCACGCCCCCAAACTGGTTCTATCAGTGGTGGTGTCATCTTGATTTTTAGTTCTGACTATGCGCAGAACAATCTTCATTGAAAAAAACACATTTTTTTCCCTTTTCTAATGTGCGCATGCGCAGACTCTTTCAGATGCACATTTTTTGCACGCCGAACTGGCATTAATGCCATCAGCAACCCATCCCTGGTGTTATTATACTTTTTAGTTATGAAACAATTGATATAAGAAGCTTTTTCAGGTTGGCAGTCTCTATATTTTCCACACTTCTATGACATCCGAAGGAAAGAGTTTACGAGAGAAGACTCAGTAGCAGTTCTGGTATCATTATAAAGAGGAAATTATCCCCTTGAGAAATTATTGATGATTTTTCCCTTCTCCTGTAGTAATTCAGAACAGTAGTCCAGCCAGTTGCACTCCCTGCAATTAAGGGGAGAATGTTGTCTATCTCTAGTTTCTTTTATTGTTATAGTATCAAATAATTGAATAACTAAATTGATATGATTTATTTATCAATCCCCTGCCCCAAAATAAATAAGTAATAGCCTTCAGTTTTACTGCTTTTGCAAATAAGCTGTCAGAGGAATGCTGCTTTGGTACACTGAAACAATCCTTTAACATTATTCTAGCATAGATTTTTCTATGTAAATTATCAGCTAAGTTCATTATGAAAACTGAGTTACCAAAGGGGTTGATACTGAATAAACTGAATACTGCTACAAATCCCTAGGACACAACATCTGCTCCATAAAATTTAACTCAGCCATTCCAACCATTTATCTATACAACGTTACTTTATTGTTTCTCAAAAGACCAATTTTCTCCTCGGGATACACAAGTTTTCAGACAGCCTCTTCCAGAGGCCAAATGTCTTTTTCAATTCTCTAAGCAAAGTAAGTTTGAGGCAGGCGACAGAAGCACCATAGTAACATGTGAAGGAAAGACTATTTGCTCATTAAAAGGAGGAAATATAAATATTTTGGTATCTTCCTTCACCCAAGACTTGGAAAGATCTCTTCCCATCTTTGCATTGGGCTGATTTCTGTGTAGGTTTTCTGCCTACACAATGAGTTTAGATATTTTGGGTGTGCTGGTTAGCAATTTACCTGAGGTGCAAATCATCTCCATTCTAATTGCAGATTCTTCCCTGGCATTTCAGAGACTGGCATATGTTGCTATTGCTTCTGCTGATCATCCACAGCACCAGGATCCATAGGCTGAAAGGTCCATTAGTCTAAATCTCAAAACTTATGCTTTCCTTCTTAAGAAAAGGAAGAAAATAATGGAACCAGCAGCCATTTTCTCCATAACTTGAGGCTGTGCTATCCCGCTCACTCGCATGCACATATAATGGTGGTTTAGTGGGTTTCTTAATGTTCCCCACAATTCTCTTTGCCAAAACCCTAGAACTGTCCCAATTAAGTCCAGCCAAAAGCAGACCAATGCTCGTCCACAGAGCAATGGCCAATGAGTCTTTCAAGGCACTTGAAATTTTCCCAATCAAGATGGGCAAAATTAAATCCACAACACAAGTGGATTCACAAGGCCAGAAAAGTCCAGAGTTCACAAGGCACAATCCAAAGTCAAGGCACGGTGTCAATCCAAAGCGAGGCAGGAATCACAACAACCAGAAACCACAGTTAGGAAATGAACTTCGTCTCTATCTGTATGCTGTGCTAAATAGCCAGCTTTTGGTGCAACCCATCAAGAGGAAGGAGGCTGCTTCTTTGCAAGCAATTGGAATGATCTTCTCTGTTCCTGCTTTTTCTCTGCCCTACATGTTCTTGAATCAAGTACAGAAGGCAGTTCCTCCTCATCAATAACCAGTTGCAGCTGTATGCTTTCCCAAACTGAAGCCTCAGGCTGTCCTGCTGCAGCTGTGCTTCAGCTAAATCACTCTCAGCTGGCTGCTTAGAGCCATTGACCAACTCCCATCCTGATGTGCTTGGGACTGGTTCATCCTCCTCTGAACTGTCATCTGGAGAGGTATATGGGGACACGTCTGGGGGGTCATCACAGAGGCTTTCTTTTTGCCTTTGCTTCAAGGATTCTTCAGGTTAGCGTTCACAAGTAAATGATTCTTTACAGAAGTTTATATCTGATTGTCCAGAAGATTAAGCAGGATCCTGATTGAAATTATTCTTGTGTAAATGCATATACTGCTCAATTGCAAAGACTCCCAACAACTTACAGCAAACAAATACCGATACATAAAAACATACAAATCAAATCATCACTCAATTGTACCAGAGTTTCAGATACTGTAGTCCTCAACAAATAACCCAGTTACTGCCAGGTTTTGGCAAAATAGCGATAAAATGTGATTGCATAATTCCTTCCCAAGACAGCTGCTGAATAGGAAGAGATTTTCTCTCTCTTGCTGATGAACTGCTGATTGCGCTGCCAAAGCTGATTTGGTCCAAGATAAGTTTTGGATGATCCAAGATGGCTTTTGGATGACAGTGGACCCACCTGGGAGGAGGAATCTTGAAGATTGCATTTGCCTGTGAGAGTGGTCAGAAAGTCACTGGTCACCCATCTTTCCTCTCAGCAGTTCATTTTCTTAAGCATGCCTGGATTTTAACTTCATTTTTTAAAGTTTCTGCCTTTCTTTGTTTTTTATGTTTAAAAGTTGACTGGCTGGTTGAATGCTGATTTATTATAATCCCCTGATGGACTGTAGTTCTCTGAAGAAACTTTTTGGATGGGAAGTGAAACATATGAAGAATGGTTGCAGGAACTGGATATGTTTAGTTTAAGAGAAAGAAGGACTAGGGGAAACATGATAGCAGTGTTCCAATATCTCAGGGATTGCCACAAAGAAGAGGGAATCAAACTATTCTCCAAGGCACCTGGGGGTAGAACAAGAAGCAATGGGTGGAAACTAATCAAGGAGAGAAGCAACTTAGAACTGAGGAGAAATTTCCTCCTCAGTTAGAACAATTAATCAGTGGAACAGCTTGCCTTC